TCTGATTCCAGCAAACAAAAGAAAGGAAACAGTGGGGACGCACGTTCTAACCTAACCTAACCTATTCTAATAATTTGGTTGGTAATAATTATGGTAATTTATTAGAATAGGTTAGGTTAGGTTAGAACGTGCGTCCCCACTGTTTCCTTTCTTTTGTTTGCTGGAATCAGAGATGAGCCGCCATGACGGTACACGCATCTGGACTAAAACCACAAAAACAAATGTTTTCATAGTCGACTTACTTTAACCATTGAACACAGGAGACAGGCTCTTAAATTTCTCAAATCCTTCGGAATGCTTTCTAGAGACATATTTTTTTTTTCGATAAACGGTACACAATACAAAATACTAGACTTCAATTTGCGTCACAAAACAACACAACCTTGCTCGATCGCTACGATCGTAAATACTCACGAGATGGCGCTCGTTTAGATATTTAAAAAAAAAAATGAAGCTTTAAAAATTTCGAAACAAAAATACATATTTAACTTTACTAATTGTTATTGATTCGTAATGAATATTATTAAAAAGTACTTATGAGCATAAGTAGAAAAGAATTCGATAATTGATCTATCATTAAAAAAAACCTGCTACAGTATTGGATAATTGAAATTTCTATTAGATTTCGATACTCGATAAATATCCTCCTTGGAAAGAGCCATAGTTTGTAAACTTCGGAACCATTGGCTTTTTAATAGAACTATTGCACTAAAAGATTTTTGAATATTAAAAATCATAAGTTGATCATTGCAAAGTATAACGTTGCCCACATAGAAGCTTTTATTGATGCTAGTAAAGAATAAAAACGAGAATATAATGAAATCAGGAATACACCAATAAAAGAAATGCCGGCGCTCGTTTCTATGATTCCACATTGAATTTTCCAGAAAACCTAAAAATGTCAGCATTTTCAATTTTTGGAGGGTGAGAAGATTTTTGACTCGCTCTTCCAGCAGTATCTTCCAGCTTTACCCATATTTTTTTTTTTTTTTTTTATTCTTTCCGCCCTGTGGGCACTAAAGAGGGCCTCTTATAGCAGGCCCACAATGGGGCGGCCGAGTGGTGAGGGACGGGGCCCGACATATCCGAACGAACTGTGCCTTACGTCTTTTCTTGTCCCCCTTCGCCACGTGGTGGGTCCGACTCGGTAGAGAGGAGTTGTGTAATTCTGGGGTGTGTAACCGAGGGTGGGAGTTTTATTGGAGGGTGTGTCTCGGGGAGAAGTTAGAACGAAAGTGAAGAGAGGACGGGGAAGAAGCAAAGTAGCAGTGGACCAAGTCAGTGTGGAGATTTTGAATTTCGAACTGTTTTCTGCCCAGAGTGAAGAAAAGGAAGAGGTACACTTAAAACTCGTTTGTCGGTATGTTTTATGTCCTCACGTTACGGGAATTTTGAGCAGTATATTGTAGGAGATTTGATGTTAACGATATTCGGTATACTGGATTGTCGGGCTCCGTACGTTCCCGTGATTTTCTTTTCTAGAAGTACTGTATGTTCTCAGGAAAATTAAAGGGTTATCTTGTTAATTTAATTTGGATAGTTGTCTTTGTCTAGTCCCTATTGAGATCAGTCGATTCCCCCTACTAAGCGTCTGCTGTATCAAGCACGCTTGTTCTAAATTTGTCCATTCGAAGAAATCACTAAAGTTCTACGTGCCGACTCGTTCTCACGTTTTATACTCTCACAGGACCACCCCTCGAAAAATTTCTGGGGATCCCGGGTCCATCAGAGCGGTAGGCTGCCACCTTGACCGCTCGGCCATCCGGCCGCATATTTAGGATTTAATTATTTCAGTCGAAGCGGTAGGCTGCCACCTTGACCGCTCGGCCATCCGGCCTAAAGCTTTACCCATATCAATGGCCATTGATACTACTACTATTTTTTTACTTTTTCTTTTCCTGAGGGCAGTAAGAGGACCTTTTTTAGGCCTACTTGGGTTCGACTACGCCGAACAAAGGGACGGGGCCCGACTATTCTCGAAAAATTCCTGAGGCTTTTCGACCGTCCGGATTCGATTCGGGATCTTCAAAGCAACAGACAGGCGCCTTGGTTATCCGGCCGACAAAAAAAAAAAAGAAAAAAATGTGTTTCATAGCACCTATAACTCAGAAGTCGTGCTGCATAGCGCCAAAATCGACACTTGGCGATATTTTTGTTAAAGTGGCGATAAAAATATAATACTAGCGAAATGGTTGGCGATATTTTAAAATTTTCCAGAGAGACCCCTGACAACTAAGTACACTCAAATACTATTTAAACGCTTCAATCTCGAAAACGATGCAGGACGAGCAAAAAAAGTCAATTACAAAGTTGTAGAGCATGACAAAAGAACCTCCTCTCCTACATAACGAATAGCGTGAAATGCTAATTTGTCAGTATTCGTTTACCATCGGTGCTATGTCACAAAGCATGGGAATTGAAACTGTGCGTTGAGGTAGACATGGCGAATTATTTCAAAGAGGAGTATTGCGAGACGGCGATGTTATACAAGAAACTTGGGCGTCATGCAATTTTTGCAGTCACCTATTTCTTACAATTTGCTGTTTTGTGAGGTAGTTTGACGGGAATCAAATACCGACAAATTAGCATTTCACGTTTCCTATTCATGTACGCAGGATGTCCTTTTGTACTAAATCGGTCACGCTCTACAACTTTGTAATTGACTTTTTACTTTCCTGGCTGTTACGTATACATTACAAGAGAAAGTTTTGGAATCGTGTCAGATTTGACCCTTCAAGTTTTTTGCAAATCTCCATGTTTTGAAACCTCCTGAATCCAAAAAAAGGCAAAAAAAAAATCCGCGCGCGTGTGTGTTTTGGCGTCTATTTTGCTTAATATCTTTCTTTTTATTTATTTTGCTTAATGCTTAATTTTCTTAAAAATAATAATTTTTTTTAAAAAACTCAGCTCTACCTTCAAAATTAAGCTTCTTACCATTTTATAATAATTAATAATATAAAAGTTTTTTTTAAACCANGAGATTTCTGAGAAAATAGAATTTTGTAAAAATTTGAGGACTCTGGAGCTTGACCCTTTATTATCTTAAAGATCTGGACCAATGTCAATTCTGGATGTAATAAATGTGTTGACAATTAATTAATTAGGACATTTTTCCAGTGTAAATTCTTTCACTTTTAATTACATAATTGTATCTCGACTTAACCTATAGAAATTCTTTATTCTGCAGTAAGCTTCTGTTAACTGACAAATGTACAGATTAGGCCTGCAATGTAGATCTATATGAAAAAGTTAATTTTTTATTATTATTATTTTACGTTAATATTTAAGCTTTCAAAAAGCTCTGACCATGAAAATATTTTTCTATAATTTTGTTTCTGAAATCTCTGATTGCCGGTTAATTAATTAATTGATCGATTAACGCGAGATACCAGCATATTGTAGATTATAAACCTGCCAAAATGGCGCTCATTACGGGCGAGCAATTATTTAATCAGTGAAGACGAAGGATGGAAAATGATATCCCCACCCATATTATCCATGCCAAATTATGAAATCTGGATCAGGTTCAGGATCAGATTGTTTTATTACTGTCGACCCGCCTATAACACTGTTGATAATTCCGTTTATATGAATTCCATGTTGTACGAGTCACTTAGATTTTACAAATACGTGAGCCGTTCACAGCCCGGCACACGTATTTGTAAAATCTAAGTGACTCGTACAACATGGAATTCATATAAAACGGAATTATCAACAGTGTTATAGGCGGGTCGACAGTAATAAAACAATCTGATCCTGAACCTGATCCAGATTTCATAATTTGGCATGGATAATATGGGTGGGGATATCATTTTCCATCCTTCGTCTTCACTGATTAAATAATTGCTCGCCCGTAATGAGCGCCATTTTGGCAGGTTTATAATCTACAATATGCTGGTATCTCGCGTTAATCGATCAATTAATTAATTAACCGGCAATCAGAGATTTCAGAAACAAAATTATAGAAAAATATTTTCATGGTCAGAGCTTTTTGAAAGCTTAAATATTAACGTAAAATAATAATAATAAAAAATTAACTTTTTCATATAGATCTACATTGCAGGCCTAATCTGTACATTTGTCAGTTAACAGAAGCTTACTACAGAATAAAGAATTTCTATAGGTTAAGTCGAGATACAATTATGTAATTAAAAGTGAAAGAATTTACACTGGAAAAATGTCCTAATTAATTAATTGTCAACACATTTATTACATCCAGAATTGACATTGGTCCAGATCTTTAAGATAATAAAGGGTCAAGCTCCAGAGTCCTCAAATTTTTACAAAATTCTATTTTCTCAGAAATCTCCATTTTAAATGAATTGATCCTTTCAAAACACTTATTAAATCTAGTTCTTTGGGTAATAATTTTTAAAATCTAAAACTGTTTATACAATATCTAATTAAAATCTAGAAAAAAATATTAAATATATAAATGATTTTGATTAAGTTGTCTGTAAGTCGATCACATTTAATTATTTATAATTCAGCAAAATATATTTTTAAATGTAAAATAAAAGGTAAAAGAATAAAAATAAATTCTTATTTTTTATTGAAGTTAAGCAGCAAGTTATTCGGCAATTTTAAACGAATTTGTAGTATGGACGACAGAATTAAATTATATAGAAGTTTAGGAAAGTTAAGCTGACAGTTAAGATTTACACCCTTTCAGCTGTCAGCTGTAATTTATTAGATTGTCTATTCAATTGGTAAATGCTATTTCTTCACTTTCCCCCTTTCGTCTGAAAAGAAAAAAAAAAAACTAAAAAATTCCTACTGTTTAAACCATAAAATAATTACTTACGAGTAAGATTAATTAATTAAAGAAAGTAAAAAGCATTTAAAATAGAAAAATAATTACTTTAACCGAAAGACAGTTAAAATACACGCTAATGTATGTCGTTGTTTTTGCTTATAACGAATTATCTGTATATAAACGATGAATAAAATAATAACGAACACTCTAAACAATTAAAGTAGCGTGTTTAAACAAACAAATTATACATTTAACGCTCTGTTTATCTATTTATGAATCTACGATAAACAATTTCACTGTTTTGATTTTATGTTTATAAATTCTGTGTACAAAAATATCTGGTGTTAGATATTAATAACGTCTAATTTTAGCTATAAAATTATTTATAAATTATGATATAGGCCTACAATTGCTTTCTTTTCCAATTTCAAGAGCGGGTCCTCTAGGCACGTGTCTGATGTGCCCAGTGCCCAGTGGGCAATTTGGCATTGATTTCCGAAATACAAAAAAAAAAAAAAAAAAAAAATGCTTTATAAACCAATTCTTTAAAACAAT